CTTCTTGAAAGTATCATGTGATGAAGCCCCCACAACTTCCAAAGGCAACTTCTATTCCATAGAATGGTTGTTCTCACTGTCAGAAAGTTCTTCCTTGTTTCTAGTTTGAATCTCTCCTTGGTCATTTTCTACCCATTGTTCCTTGTCTGGCCTTCGGGTCCTTTGGAAAATAGCTTGACCCCCGTTCTCTCTGTGGCAGCACCTCAAATATTGGAAGACTGCTATCATGTCTCCCTTGGTCCTTCCCTTCACTAGACTAGCCATGCCCAGTTCCTGTAACCGTTCTTCATATGTTTTAATCTCCGGTCTCCTAATCATCCTGGTTGCAATTCTCTGCACCTTTTCTAGAGTCTCAACATCTTTTGTTATAGTGTGGTGACAAATACTGGATGCAGTACTCTAGGTGTGGCCTTACTAGGGCTTTAAAGAGTGCTATTAGTACCTCCCTTGATCTTGATTGTATCCCTCTGTTAATGCAATTTAGGATTGCATTGGCTTTTTTGGCTGCCACCACACACTGCTGGCTTATATTTAGCTGATTGTCCACTAAGACTCCAAGATTCCTCTCACAGTCACTGCTATTAAGCCTGGTTTCACCTAGTTTATATGCACCTCAAAGAACAAAGCAATCCATGAAGGGGACTCACTGATTTGCCAGGTTTTCCAGGTGGTCCGGGTTCTCCTTTGGCTCCTGGATTCCCAGGGAGGCCAATTAAATTTTCATCAGTAATAACAGGGCAAACTTCACATGGATCACCCTGTTGGGAAAACACAAAGATGCATTGAGGACAAAAGAACACAAAGGAACCTGAAACCAATAACACTAGGAAAAGGAAACCCCAACTCCCACCCCCAAAAGAGTAAAAGCACTAAAAAAAACCCTATAATCCATCCTAGCAATGCTCTGTATTCCTATCTTAGCTACCTGGATGGAAATGGTTGGAAGCAACATTGCAGCAACCATATGCATCCCCAACAAGGATCTCAAACACACATTGCAATGTCACAATGCAAGTACCACCATTGTATATTTTATACCCAAAGGCGTAGATTTTGCATTGTGATGTCATCATATGCGGTTCGTTGTTTGTCTCCCTTTGCCATCTCGGCAAGTGCCCAATGTTCATACCCATAACTACATAACTGTGCATCTCTGCACCGGTTTAATACTAGGAAAGAGCCTGTTCTATGTGATGGTTCAGCCTCACTGATCCTATTCTTTGGATGTTCCAGCAGTGCAAAACATCTGACTAATCTTGTGTGGCTTCCACAGAATTCCAGACCTGGAAGACAGAGTGGACGTTGAAAAACATCCTAGAACAGTGATGGAGAACCTTTGCGGCACCAAATGCACAAACCATAACATGTTCATGCCTAGCTTTTTGGCCATTTTTCAGGCCATTTTCCGGCCATCTTTTGGACCAAAAAAATGGCCTGAAAATGGTCTGAAAAACAACTTGAAAACAGCCCAAAAATGGCCTCAAAAATGGCCAAAAAATCAGGCATGAACGTGGTGGCCAGCTTGTCTTTGGGTTTCCAGTGCTCCAATGTGCGCATATGCACACACATGCATGTGTGTTATGGTTTGTGCACTCTGGGCCAAAAAGGTTCTCCATCACCGTTCTGTTTTCCGCTCCTCCAGTGTCCACGCAGACCAGCTGGCCGGTGCAGATGTCCACAGAGAAGGCTCTGCATGCCAGAGGTTCTCCATCACGGGCCTAGAAGATGATGGGAAACCATTTCCAAACTATTAACATGACAACTACATGGATATTTCCATAAAATCACCAGCATTTGAGCATCTATTGCAATGCACATACATACATATGATTGCCTTGTTCTGTAGTCCAATATACCCAACTGGATATTTAGAGGAAAGTCTCGCAATGCATTTCCATGCATTTTTTAGGTGACTTATTTTAGGCTGTATTTTTTTAAGTTACTGCATATGGATAAGCACTAAAACTGCCAAGTTTCTGATTAAAAGGAACCAACTGGGCCTCCAAACTGCCATACAGATAGTCCTTGACTTAACAACTATAATTTGACCAGGATTTCTATTGCTAAGCAAGGTGGTTTGTTAAGGGACTCATGCCTGATTTTATGACCTGTTTTGACACCACTGTTAAGCGAATCACTGCAGCTGTTAAGTGAACCATGTAGTTGTTAAATGAATCGTGTAGTCGTTAAGCAAATATGGCTTCTGCCACTGACTTTGCTTGTCGGAATCCAGCTGGGAAGATCAGTGAGTCAGATGATCTCTGATGCTGCACCCATTGTAAATCTATGCTAGTTGCCAAGCACCCAAATTTTGATCACAAGATTTTAGGGATGATACAACTGTCGTTATGCAGAAGGACAAGGTGTAAGTTACTTTTCTCAATATCATTGTAACTTTGAATGGTTGTAAGTCGAGGACTACCTGTATCATCATTTCCCTAAGAACCTCAGAAAAGATGAAGGAGTGGAAGGGAAGTCTACCTCCTTTGTCCTCTTCTTCCTCAGAGATCCATGTCAACCATTCCTCAAAGGTCCCCATTTAGTTTCAATGCTATTGGGCTCACAATGGCAGAGCAATTGATTTCCCCTCTGAAGTTCTGCCTTGATCCTAACTTCTTTAGACTTACCTTTTCGCCTTTCAGGCCTGGAGTCCCTGGTTTGCCCTGCAGAGAAAGGGAAGGATTTAATTTTGCCGATGAAATGCAACCCTGTTTCCCTGAAAATAAGACCTCCCTGGATAATAAGCCCAATCAGGCTTTTGAGCGCATGCGCTAAAATAATGGATGGGTGAGTGAGTGTTCGTAATTTATTTGCTTGATATTGAAGCCAAAGGTCCAGTGAGCTTCATTTTTGGGAAGCAATCTCAGAAAAAACATTTTCTCAGTTTCTGCCAGTCCTTTCCCCAAATAACCCGATGGCCTCTTTATCATCCAGAGTCACAAAGTATTAGTAGAGCCAATATATTTGAGCTTCATATGAACTGGGGCATGGAGTAGCCTTGGCAAAGAATCCACTTCCATGACTTTAGAACATACAGGCACCCATAAAAACAACATTTAACAAAAAGGAACCGATGGGGAGGGGGTAGCAATCACTTCCAATTGTCCACAAGATCCAGTTGTCCTAAACCCTAAACAAAAGGCATGAGAGCTGACAAGGATTCAAATCAAGGATTTTTACGATTGCAATGTTCACAACGGAATGTGAAAATAGACAGCAGTGAAGCTGGACTGCTTCCCAAGGATAAGCTGCTACGCTCAGAACACCAACTGGCATTTATGTGCCTTTCCTTCATAGGAAAAATATGCCAGAAGTAAATATAGGGAGTTAAATTGCCTACACTATGTAAATTTGCACATTCAAGCCACACTGGAGACTTTGGGACATACGTTTTCCCCAAAGGGAAAGCAAATACAGATGAAATACAATTCCAGATGCAGAAAAAAATGGTTAGCAGAAAAAAATGGCTAGCTGTTACGGAAACTGTTGTGGAAATTGTGTATATAATTATTTTGTGTATGGTACTCTGGGAAAAAAAGAAAATAAAAGAAACAGGAGGGAAGGAGGGCAGGAGGGAAAGAAAGAAAAGAAGGAAGGAAAAGAGAGAGAGAAAGAGAAAGAAAGAAAGAAAGAAAGAAAGAAAGAAAGAAAGAAAGAGGAAGGGTGAAGACAGGGAGGGAGGGAGGAAGAAAGAATGGAAAAGAAAATGAGAAAGAAAGTAAAAATTGAGAAACAAAGAGAAAGAGAAAAATCTCTCTCTGTTTTAAATCACAGCAAAATAAACTCTCTCTTTCTCTAGTTGTTCTTTTCCACTTATTGTTTTATTTCTTTATCTTTCTTCTGTTTAAATAGCCATTCAAACGGAGACAGGCATCAAACAAGGCAACATATCCCCCCCCCCTTTTCAATTCAATTATTTTAATGTTACTTCTATGCTGGGCCATCTCCTCAACATGAACTTTTATCCTCCAAACTTGCTGAGAGACATATTTTTGTTCTGCTCTTTCTAGACAAAGCAGCATTACTTTCCAGAACATTGGCCTTAAAGAACACTTGAGAGCATTAGTCCAGTACTGCATGAAAAACCAGCTAGTACTCAAATTATCAAAACCAAAACCATGGCATTTGCCAAAAGGCCCCAAAGCCACTTCTGGGGGATAGATGGCCAAAAGATTGAGCAGGTCTCCTGCTTCAAATAACTAGGAATATTTATTTATTCTTCCAACAGAATGGGGATTACATTGCTGAAAATGCATAGAGGAGATCATCTGCCATCATGAAATTTCCTTAAAATTTCCCTGCCTTGTTCCCTACAGCTAGGAAACTCTTGATTCTGCTTGATGAAATGGATCTCAAGGCATGGAAGACCATGACCACAACAGGAGGGAAGCAGGCTGAAGATGCCTGTTTTAAGATAAACTTATCACCGGGCCATCCAGTTTCTCCAAGGATCTCTCTGTGGTCCCATGACTTGGGTAAGACAGCCCAATCAAGAGCTTGAAAGTCAAATGGCAACTAGAAAACCTCCTTAGATGTTGTGGCCTTTGGTTCATTGATTTGCATGCTGGAAAAAGGACTTACTGGCTTCCCAGGAGATCCACTGTCCCCTGGAGATCCTGAACCTCCCTGGAAATAGAGAACAAGATTGATGGCAATGAAATTTAGACCAGTAGTAACACTGTTAAGAACAAAACACAGGATGTTCATTTCAAGATTAGAACCATTGGAGGTCGCAAAGCTCTTAAAGATTCATGACATACCTTCTCTCCTTTCAAACCTGGGGGACCACCAGGATCACCCTGAAATGAAATCCAAACTGTTACAGTTGTTCATAAATGAGCCATCAAAACCACTATTAATGACAGGAAACACAATCTGATTTTAAAAAGTCCAGAGTTATGTCTTGTAGGTATTTTATCAGTATGATAACTTCTGGAATAGTGGCGAACACTCAAAGGAATGCTACAAAAAGTGCATTGATTGAAGGAAGCAACCCTCTTCCTAGTAATAAAACAGCTGTCCCCAGCTGTTAGCATGTCTGTCCACCACAGGGAAATCAAAACTCTATCACAGGTAGTTGAGACTGTAACAGAACTCAAAATAAATGCACCCCGGGCAAAAACATTGAAAGTGAGGTCCTAGCTGTCCATCAGCCAATATAGTTCACGCAGGAAAAGGCAATGAACTGACTCCACTTTTGAAATCTCCAGCCCAGTCCTCCTTCAACTTTATGTTAGGATGGAGTTTTATCCCAAGCATCCCTGTCAGTTTCAGGATTAAGGGGCTGGAAGATTCCTTCTCCATTAGCTGAAGAGAGAGCTCAAATGCAAAGAATGTAAACAACCATCTGCCACCAACAGACAACTGAAGGTTAGCGTAAGGCCCAGCCTCTCCCCCTTATTCAAAAAAGTAAAGACTCTTGAACCTTAGCATTTCAAAAGGAACCTTTTATTGAATAGAGGTGATAGCAGGGTGAAAGGAAAACAAGCTCTGAGGGCCCTCAGACCATGCAGTTAGAATAAAAGAATTAAAAAACTCTCCAACAGTCCATGTGGATCCAGCCAATCCACAAGTACGAAGATGATATTGTACTGGTTGCTCTGAGAAAGTGATAAGGGAGCTTTCTCAGCGTCATCCTTCCATTGGCTCTCAAGGGATAGAATCCACATGGCCTTTCCTCCCTTACATTCCCCACAAGGTGCAAAAATGCCATGACACTTAGGTGCCAGGCTAAAAGCCATAAACCAATACCTTGCAGGATATAGGATTTATGAGATACAACATAGTAAGCAAAATAGTAATTTAAAAAACCCCTTCACCTGAAGAATGGCAGATACACAGATTTGACAGTTAGTGTTAAGAGAAATGGAGGTCTCCCAAGAGGGCAGCAGTGTAAGAGAACGGAAAAAGTCTAAGATCTGAATGGGATGTAGCTACTGGATAACCACTCCGACTTAGTCAGAAGGAGTCATCAATTCATTATGGTTATCACTTCTAAGAAAATCTTCCTCCTCGGCATCACAGGGATGATCATTATGTTCATCATTACCACCACCATCATCAAGCCTCTAGCCAAGTTTGTCATTCTCTCTGCAGGAGCCCCAAAATGAATCTTGATAAACCCTATACAGAAACTGTAAAATTTGACCAGAGCTAAAGCAATATTTTGATATGGTCGGGGAGACCTATTAATGGAATCTTCTTGTTGGATTCAAAATTCTTTGAATTTAATCTAGCCCTACATTTTCTCAACTGGTCTCCAGGAACATATAGCTCTTTTGAAAGGATGAAATAGCAGTTTTGGAAAATGAGATATTTAGGCCAGAAGAATGATGAAGTGGAGAAGGGTTAAATGCCCCTACCTCCCTTACTGCAATTTATCTGCTTTTACCTCAACCTCCATCCATTTTCCTGAATTGGAAAAATAAGCCCAGCAGTAAAAGTAGAACACCTCTTCATGGTGTTCCCATCAAGTCCTAAGTAATTTAAGTCTTCTCTGAATTACAGGTTTAATGTACTAGCAGGGAAAGTATCAGCAGGTGGTAATGTCTGGTTGACCTAGTTTGTGCATAGAAGGTGAACAAGGTTGAGCATGGTTAGTATTTACTATAAATGGGAGATCCTTATTTATTTAGTAGGTTTTTATCCCACATTTATTACTTTATAAATAATTCAAGGCAGTGAACATTCCTAATACTCCTTCCTCCTCCTATGCTCCCCCCACAACAACAACTATGAAGTGGGTTGGGCTGAGAGAGGGGGACTGGCTCAAATTCATCCAGTAGACTTTCAACCCTAAGTGGGACTAGAGCTCAGAGTCACCTTGTGATTAGCCCAAAGACATCCAGCTGGCTTTCATGCCTAAGGTGGGGCTAGAACTCACCATCTCCTAGTTTCTAAGCCAGCACTTTAACCACTACACTAGATTGGTTTATGGGAATATCAGGACCGTAGCCTACACCAACTATGGCGAACCTTTTTCGCGTTGGGTGCCAAAAGCTATTGTGTGCGCTCGCGTGCCCACCCACATAATTTAATGCCCCCATTCCGTGCCTCCTGTGCATGCATGCAGGGCTTTCTTGGAGCCTGGGGAGGGCGAAAATGGCCTCCCCCCCCCCCCGGGAGGCCCTCTGAATGCCACAAACGGCCCATTTTCCTACTTTCAGAGGCTCTGGTAGGTCCCTTTTTCGCTTTCTGAGCCTGGGGAGGGCAAAAGACAGTCCAAGACGCCAACCGGAAGTTCGGAAATGGACTGCCAGGTTGCCCATTGAGCCATTTTTCTCTCTCCAGAGGTTTCAGGGGGTTTCTCTGAAGCCTCTGGAAGGCAAAAAACAGCCAAAAATTAAGGCCCAAAATCAAGTTGGCCAGTGTGCACTTATGCGCTGGAGCTGACAGGGCAACACCTCGTATGTCCTCAGAAATGGCTCTGTGTGCCACCTGTAGCACACGTGCCATAGGTTTGCCATCAGGCCCTAGACTGTGATGTGGAAAAAGAAGAAGGCAATAACAAGTTACTGTTCCCAAGAAAACTACATAGGTATGTCTATGAGACCATCAGAGATCTAATTTAATTTGAAGGAGACTCCACTTTAAAAGATGATTTATTTTCCAAGAAGTGGGGGGATCCTTACCGGTTTTCCTGGAAGGCCAATTCCAGATGGGCCTGGCAAGCCTGGAGGTCCTGGTTCTCCAGCAAGCCCTTCAGGGCCAACAAAACCTGGATCACCCTAAGATTAAAAACACAACCATTAGCCATGTTTATTTTCAGAAAAGTGCTCCCTCCACACTCCTGGCTTCAACTAGCACAATACATAACAGTGTCATGGGTAGCATATAAATTTCTAGAACTAAATTAATAGGTACCTTTTGGCCTTTGGGTCCTACCAAACACAGTTCTCCAGGTCGGCCCTAGAAAATAGCAAAAAACCCAGGCTTGGTTAGAAGAGGAGCTTCGTTTACACTTCATGCAATTCACGATCAGCTTCCTCTTATTGGCCAGGAATTATTAAGCTTTTGGATGGGTTGAACGTGCCACATATTTCTTACATATTAGTGCAATATGATTCAACTTGGCCACTGTTCTCAAGTCATGCAATGGTTTGACCTCTAATGCAGCTACCTTGATCCATTTCTATCTGAACAGGATAGCAAGATAGCTGAACAGCTATTAAACATAAATATTGATTTTTTTTAAAAAAAAACCCTTGTCTCTACTTCGTTCCTCAAAGATAGAAAGCGGTGAATTCCTGATGCTAGAAAAAAGGTGTTTGGATATTGATGTAATTCTCTGGGTATCGTTTGAGCATCATCTAATGCAGGAAACAAGGGGAAAGCAGCTGCAGACATGACACCCAAGAGAAAGTTGCCTCTTGTAGAACTTACATCTCGCCCAGGGGCGCCTGGTTTCCCGTGAAGTCCAAAGTCACCTTTCTCACCCTTCTGTCCCTGCAGAAAATGACCAATTTAGTAGAATTTAGTCGGCAATTCAGTGTATTTCAGCCACAATTTAAGTTTTCTCAACCTATAATTTCATCACTGATTTAGTTTGTTAATCTGCTATTTTCCCAATTGGTGTTAGGGCTTCTTAACTGAACAGTGAATTACTATTCTTAATCACAGCACACTTCCATAATCATGTATTAAGGAAATAATAATTTTCTAGCTTGAAATATGAGGGAAACTATTAGGTGGACCACCTTCCCATGAATTTGCTACTTCATTCTTTAAAGCTAGGGTTTGTCAATTCAATCCAATAAATTTAAGAAGTCTATTTTGATTCAGATTTGAATCATGTCAAATCAGATTCTGAATATTGGCTCAGCTGCATCCCATTCCAATTCAATCCCTGAACTTAATCTCCAGAAAACTTACTTTTTGCCCGTGAGTGCCATTCAATCCTTGAAGCCCCTGGAAACAACAAAAAAAAGTATTCATTAATTAGCAATGTAGAAATTTATAGTCTAAATCAATGTTTCACATCCTTGGCAGCATTAAGCGGTGTGGACCTCACTTCCTAGAATTTCCCAGCCAGCACTACGGTGCAACTGGGTAACTTTGGACTAGATGTCTCCATCCTATACCCTTTGTTTAAATTCAGCCAAGGTTTTATCAAGGCCATAATTTATATTACTGGGTTCAAAGAGTCATATTATTGATTTTAATTAATTTGGTTCTTATGAATGAAGCAAACCTGGTTAACAGATGCCAAGTTCTTCCTGGCTGGAATGATAATGAATAAATCATAGTCTTCTTTGATATAATTCTACTCCATACTTTAAACAATGTGATCCAGACCTCCATACATATAGAGGAAAGAGGGGATGGTCTTGAGGATCAGGAGTAACAACTGCTATCAAGACAGCAGACATTAAAAAAGTAACAAGTTCGGGGAAGGAATGCAATCTGAATAAAATATCTCACACAGAGCCTCCCTAGTTCACCCAAAGATAATGGGAGAGAGGAGGAAAACACATTCATACTTGTAAGGTTGTGTTACTTTAGCTTTAAAATAAAAGATACATGGCATTAGATTCCTACATGCAATTAGATTCGAAGTCTGATCTATCTGCAAGATCTGGCCCTATATCATTTTTCTTTCAAAGATAAACATTTAGTTCCCACAACCTTGGATTTATTTTCAGTTCCCTGATCATCCTTATTATCTTTCTAGCTTCTCTGAAATTTTGTTAAAGTGGTAAGTCTAGTACCCTGGGTAGCGTCTGCTACTGATTTAAGTGGAACTGTTACTTCCAATGGTTTGGTGCAGAATGTCAGGATTCCAAATAGCATCCAAAAGTAAATCAGAGTCCAAGGCAAAGTATTGCTCAAAGTTCCAATTTATTAAGAGAGCCATGTTGGCACATCTGGGAAAACCCAAATCTGAAAGCTTCCTGTTTTTCCCCATCCAGTTGAAAATTCAAGATCTTGCCCCCATACCCACAAGTCCATCCCATGGTCCAATCATCCACTGCCATGCTGGCAGCTTCCACCCATCCAGTTCCAGTCAGGTGCAGAGGTGCAAAG